ATCTTTCTTATGATTTCTCTACCTTTCTTGATATTTTTCGTTTGCAACTATTGTCTAAAATCTTGCCCGTCTCTCATCGTGTATGGTACCATGTCTTTAGTGACTAAATTCCTAAATTTTAGACATGAAGTTGAACTATTTGTGGATAAGAGACAATATTGTGTGCTCAGAATGACAAATAAATGAGAGTCAAATAGCATTTAATAATTTGAAAAGTGAGCTTGTTATCGACATTGTAAAGGAGATATTGTTTGACAGTGAGTCTTTACACATGACTTGAACCTGTTCAACAAAGGTCCATTTAGTACCTGTTAAGGTCATTATGAAATACTGACAATAACACATTGTTGTGTTGTTGATATCGTCATGCTACTGAAGGAGCAAAGAGAAATTGCATGACTTTTTCTTATCTTTGCTTCCCACGCCTCACACATCTTGTGGTTTATTGATACCTTTTCAATTCTCGCATGCTACCCTGAAGAAATGCAATCTTACTTGTTTCAAAATGAAAAGATTTATAGTGCAACCACTAAAATCTAGGGCAAGATCAGAATATTGGTAGGATCCTGTAGAATTCTCAAGCCTGTGGCGTGCTTGTGGTATTTGCCTTAGGGGTCGAAAGCATTTTGTATTGGTTAATAATGTGCATGTTGCTGAAGCTTTTGCTTTCATCTCTCTTTCAGTTTGCAAATTTCTTTAGCTGGCTTCTGAAATGTATAAAGCAACTGATGTCAGAGCCAAGTGATCAACTTTTAACGTACAATAGGTTTGTCTAATTTTTGTTAATCAGGATCCTTCCTTACGGTGAATTCCTATTTACTCTTGTGAATTTCAACAGTGAACTTGTTGTCGTGTTCTTGAAGTTTCTATATGATCAAGATCCAGTTATGCAGCTTCTGGATCTATCTGAGGCTGATGAAGGAATTGATATTGATCTGTGAGTGACTTTCTCTTAACTTGTTCTAGTTCCTAATTATATGTCCTTTACAATATGGCAACTGGAACCCCAGAATCTATAGTTGTTATTTGTTCATACCTGATGGAGGCACCAAGTGGAATGTTTAGCATCGCCATGTACAGAAAGCTTCCAGTAGATATTCCTTGTGTACTTATATCTTGAAGTTAAACTTTTTCTTGTCATTTCAGTTCACATGTACTTTTACCTGGGCTTAGTTGTGACATGTCATTATTGTTGGTAGAATGGCTAACCATTGAATTATAAATTTCTTCTCTTGTGAATTATCTGTGAGTTTTGCTCCTTGGTTTTCTGAATGAATTTTATTCAGCTCATAAGAAAAGGTTATTGCCTGGCCCTAGTTATAAAATCACATGTATCATCTGGAGACAAGACTGGATTCATAATTGGACATAGATGACCTTATAATTTCAAGGGTGGCGAGTCATCTCTTCATCTTTGTACCTGAAATTTGGTGAGGCAATGGCTTGGATACTGCGAAGTGTGGTCAGCTTAGTATTGCCTTCATGTACTCTAGCAACTAATTTTGGTTGGCCTTCACTAGGTTGTGCTATTCATTTATGTGCCAGAGAATTAAAATATCGGGGTGTAATGGAAATTGGTCATGCTTCAAATGTCAGAATGCCTAGTATTGTTTTCATATTCTTTAGCGGCTGACTCATGCTTTAATGGAATGTGACCAAATTAGTTGCCAAAACTGAGGATATGAAATTTTAAATGACTCCTGGTTTGTGGGTTAGTTCTTCATTTCAGGTCATCTTGCTATCATATCCATCTATATTCTTTTTTGAGTTAACGGAGACCCAGCAAAGGATCTTCCCCACAATAATACCTGCAGCTTCTCCCATTTCTGTTCCATGACTGGAACAGGAAATCCTTAAGAGCACTTCAACTAAATGAGGTTGACTTGAGGTAGGGTGATTTGCTGGGCTTCAACCGTGGTTATTGTTGTTCCAGCACTATTTTAAGTAACCACATGGTAACAAGCGTTGAAATTGATGGATTGATTGCCGTTTCTCATTGGATTGGAAGGTCTCACTTTTCAAAAGATCAAATGTAATTCCTTGCGCTTTTCTGCCTTGATATATCATGTCAGGTTAGTAAGATGTCTTACCCTCATTATTGTCTTAGAGAAACTGTTGAGAGGAAAAACTGAACATAATGCTTGGTTAAGTCTATGTGACCCCAAGCTATCTATTTATAATAAAACCAAAAAGGCCAAAATTACAATATTACCCTTATTGCTGCAATATATAAAATAATAAAGGAAATAGACAAATATGCCCCTATTAGCCAAGTACTCTCAACACTCCCCCTCAAGTTGGAGCATAGATATCACACATGCCCAACTTGACTAAAACAAGATGAAACGATTTACTCCCCAATCCTTTAGTCAACACATCAGCAAGTTGATCACCGGACTGAACAAAGGGCATACAAATTAAACCACTCTCCAACTTCTCTTTGATAAAGTGCCTGTCAATCTCCACATGTTTTGTACGGTCATGCTGTACAGGATTGTGAGCAATACTAATGGCGGCTTTATTATCACAATATAGCATCATAGGAATAGGAACAGATACACCAAGATCTTCAAGTAATTCTTTAAGCCATAACAGTTCACAAACTCCATGTGCCATTGCACGAAATTCTGCTTCAGCACTAGATCGAGCAATCACATTCTGCTTTTTGCTACGCCAAGTCACAAGATTCCCTCCTAAGAAAGTACAATACCCAGAAATAGATTTTCGGTCAGGAGATCCAGCCCAATCAGCATGTGTATAGGCTTCAACTTTTAAGCCATCACGAGGAGATAAAAGAATCCCTTTTCCGGGAGCAGACTTCAAATATCGAAGGATTCGAAGAAAAGCATCCATATGAGTAGAGTATGGATCATGCATAAACTGACTCACTAGGCTCACAGCAAAAGCAATATCAGGTCTGGTGTGTGATAAATAAATCAACTTGCCCACTAACCGTTGATAACGACCCTTATCTACGGGATCACCATCCTTTTCTTGAAGACGAGTATTGACCTCAATAGGTGTATCAGAGGGACGACATCCTAATAACCCAACTTCTGTTAAAAGATCAAGGACATACTTTCTTTGGGATAGAAAGATACCTTTTGAAGATCTGGCAACTTCAATCCCAAGAAAGTATCGAAGCTTTCCAAGATCCTTAATTTCGAATTCTTGTCCAAGAAAATTCTTCAACCGGCTTATCTCATCAGTATCATTCCCTGTGACAATAATGTCGTCTACATAGACAATAAGAATAGTGACTTTAGCACCTGATTTCTCACAAACAAAGTATGATCAGCATTACTTTGTTTATACCCAACAAAGATCATAGCTTTCTGAAACCTACCAAACCAAGCTCGAGGTGATTGCTTTAAACCATAAAGTGCACGTTTCAACTTACACACTTTACCTTGAGTTTTGTCACAAGAAAAACCTGGAGGAATCTCCATATATACCTCCTCTTCTAACTCTCCATGAAGAAAGGCATTCTTCACATCTAACTGCTGAAGATCCCATCCCTGGTTTACAGCACACGAAAGTAACACTCGAACAGTATTCAACTTGGCAACAAGAGCAAAGGTTTCTTGATAGTCAATCCCATAAGTCTGAGTAAATCCCTTCGCCACCAACCGTGCTTTATATCTGTCCACAGTACCATCCATCTTCTGTTTGACTACAAACACCCACTTACATCCTACCGGTTGTTTCCCAGGAGGAAGAACAACAAGATCCCACGTGTCATTTTTCTTCAAAGCATGCATTTCCTCCACCATTGCTGTCTTCCACTTCTCATCTGCAAAAGCTTCTTGCCAATTCCGTGGAATAGAAACAGAAGATAGAGAAGATACAAAAGTACGATAAGAGCTGGACAAAGAGTCATATGAAACAACATTGGATATAGGGTGTTGAGTACAAGTTCTAATACCCTTTCGGAGTGCGATAGGAAGATCAGAAGGAGAAACTTCATCAGAAGGAGTAGTAGAATCCGGATCCGGAGATGATGACTGAATAGGCAATGTATCAGTGGTCTTAACCTGCGTGTTGGTAGTGGAATTTCTACGACGATATGTCTTCAATGTTTCCCCACTATCAATCCTACTTTGCTTAACAGGTGTGGTCTCCCCCTGAATCTCTGATATCTCCCCTTGAACTATTGCATTATTCTCTACTTGCGTTGCATCGTTCTCCTCTTGAGAAGGAGAAGAAGAACGATCAGAGACTATTGGAGGAGGAGGAGGAGAAGAGTAAGTAATATCCTTAGGAACATCTAGAATTGGCAACACCTCTACACTAGGACACTCCCCCTGAAGAGGTGGAGCGGAATAATAAGAAGTAGACTCATGAAAAATCACATCCATAGATATAATACTGCGCCTAGAAGGAGGATGATAACACTTATAACCCTTTTGAGTAGCTGAATACCCAAGAAATATGCAGTGGAGACCGCGGGGTTCCAACTTACTCTTAGAGGTAGTGTTACGAGCATAACAAACACAACCAAAAATTTTTGGAGGAAGAATAAAAGTTGATGATCCCTGTAAAACATCAATAGGTGTGCGAAAATCAAGAATTCTAGTCGGCATCCGATTGATTAAATAGGCAGCGGTTAAAATAGCATCACTCCAATACTGAGAGGGGACATGACGTGCAAACATAAGAGACCTGGCTACCTCTAACAAATGTCGGTTCTTTCTTTCGGCAACACCATTCTGTGCTGGGGTATCAACACAACTGGTCTGATGAATAATGCCATGATCAAAGAGATACCGTTGAAACTGACCTTCAGTATACTCAGTGCCATTGTCACTGCGAAGAATTTTCACAGTGGCGTTGAATTGAGTTTGAATCATTTTGTGAAAAATTTGAAAATAACGAAAAACGTCACTCTTATGCTTCAACAAATAAACCCAAGTTGCACGAGAATGACAATCGATAAAAGTAACAAACCATCGATGACCAGAAATAGAAGTACGTCGGGAAGGACCCCACAAATCAGTATGAATCACATGAAAAGGGAAACGACTTTTATTATTTGAAGATGAATATGTAGAACGAGTTTGTTTAGCAAAGACACAAGCTTCACAAAAAAACTCATCTTTATTACAAGCTGAAACGAGACTCGGGAAAACTTTTTCTAAAGTTCCTAAAGGGGGATGACCTAATCTGCAGTGCCACTGATAGAGATCTGTCAATGCTAAATTAACTTGATGGGGCGTAGTAGACGACATAGAAGTAGAAACCCCACTACCCTCGAGCAGATAAAGACCACCATCCAATCTACCATATCCAATCTCCTTCTCCGTTACCAGATCCTGGAAAATACAGTAAGAAGGGAAAAAAGTTACTTTACAATTTAAGTCTCGAGTCAAACTACTAATAGAAACGAGATTAGTAGAGAATGATGGAATATGTAAAACTGAAGACAAGGGAAGAGTGGAGGAACAATTGATAGACCCTTTTCCAGCGATGGAAGAGAGGGTTCCATCAGCTACACGAATTTTGTCTCTACCGGAAGTAGGGGTATATTGATGAAAGAGACTAGAAGAACCTGTCATATGATCTGTAGCCCCTGTATCAATGATCCATGGGCTGGAAACAACAGATGTATTAAACCCCCCAAAGAAGATACCTGAAGTGGCTAGATTTGAAGCAAAATGGGAAGACGAATTGGCAACTGTGGAGGAAGCAGCAGTAGTAGAAGCTTTCAGTAGATGTCGAAATGCCTGAAGTTCTTCTTGGGATAAACCGATATCAGTAGTAGGTGTAGCAGTAACAGTTTCAGTATGGTTTGCTTTGTTTTTTGTCTTTCTCTGTGCCTTTTTTTCCTCAAAATCTGCAGGTTTGCCATGTAACTTCCAGCAAGTAGCCTTAGTATGATAAGGCCTATGACAATATTCACACTTCACAACTTCCTTAGGGGTATCATTAAATCGAGAGAACGAACCAGAGTTAGTAATAGTGCCAGCACTAATTTGTAGAGCAGATCGATCAATAGTAGAGGACTGGAGCATTGCTGTCCTACGGCTTTCTTCTGAGTGAACTAGGGCATAAGACTGTTCCAGAGTGGGGAATGGAGACCGGCTAACGACTTGAACACGTATCTGATCATATTCAACATTCAATCCTGCCAAGAAATCATAAACTCTGAACTTGTCCACATGGTTCTTGTAGGCAGCAATGTCTGTAGCATTAGTTGGTTGATAATCGGTATAATGATCTAGCTCTTGCCATAAACTCTGAAGCTCAGCATAATATTGAGATCTAGTCATCTCCTTCTGAGAAGTGTCATGAACCCTTTTTCGAAGTTCATACACCTGTGCATCATTCCCGATTTGACCATAAGTATTCCTAGCAGCTGACCAAATTTGCGCCGCAGAATCAAGAAGCAAATATCCTTTTGCAATATGTGGCTGGATCGAGTTAAGCAAAAAAGACATTACCAAAGAGTCATTCGAGATCCACTTGTCTTGAGTAGCACCCGATGTTTCCGGCTTCACAGAAGTGCCGTTGATATGACCTGTAAGCCCACGGCCGGCAATGGTCAAGAATACAGATCGAGACCATATCAAATAATTTGTGCCATCGAGCTTCACAGAGATTGCAGCGAAAGTAATATAATCTGTACGGCCATCTCCTGTAGGTGGAGGGTTCTCAATTGAACCGTCAGACATTGTGTCACTGGTAGTAGGCTAAAAATATCCTCCAAAAAATCAGAAAGATCAGATCAAGGGAAGAAAAAAATCGATTTTTCAAGATTTTGAAAACTTGAAAAAAATCGATAATTCTAATTTATCCCAAAGAATCTGAAAAAATATGGTGGTCCACGAACTGCAGTGCTTTGGTCTCCACACACGAGAATTGTAGGCCAGCGGCAAGGCAGAAACAATTCCAGACAAGAAGATCCAAAAAATCGCAGAAGTTGAACCACCTATTGCGGACTGCAAAGAAGTTTTAGTTATGTCATAGAGGTGAAGTTTAGGGCAGACACTAGATTCAAAGAATCACCTCATTAGTGCTGCCCTACACTGTGAAAGAGAGCAAAGAAGAAGATGAAAAGGAACTGCGGTGGGAGAGAATGAAGGCGTGAAGAGAGGAAAAAGAAAGGTTGCGCAGAGGAGAGATTAGGGTTAGGGTTTCAGTTCAGATCTGGCTCTGATACCATGTTGAGAGGAAAAACTGAACTGAATGCTTGGTTAGGTCTATGTGACCCCAAGCTATCTATTTATAATAAAGCCAAAAAGGCCAAAATTACAATATTACCCTTATTGCTGCAATATATAAAATAATAAAGGAAATAGACAAATATGCCCCTATTAGCCAAGTACTCTCAACAGAAACAATGCAGAGAGTCAGAGAATTACTGCAATTTGGAGGATTTGGGGACACCGAATATTTGCAAAGGACACTTGCAAAGGAATTTCAACAAATGGAACACAGGTATTAGCAAAAGAATTAGAAATCTGAAATGTCATAGAATCTTGTTCGTGTATAGAAGTTCTTACTCGAATGTGTTGTTTTTTTTTTTTTTTTTTTTTTTTGGTGACCTAGGGAACCCCCGCACGACCGACAGCCGGGAGGTAAACCCTGGGGGCGACACGTGCTAGCCACCACACACGTGCACCGGTTAAGTCACCCTGCGGCACCCGGGATTCGAACACTCAACCTTTTGCGAGAAGAAGAGTGCGCGCTCCAGCAGCGCCACCCAGGCGGGTGGTATTACTTGAATGTGTTGTTTATTGCTTTTTCATTGTAAATTCTTCATATTAATGCTATATCTACTTTTTCATTCATAAATGTTCTTACACATGTTTCCTCAGTGGGAAAAATATGAACTATGGAATAAATCATTGCTGTTATCTGTTGTTAGGAGTAATTGCTTCTCACCCCACCCAACCCTCCCCCCCACCCCCATCCCTCTTCAAGCCTGGTACTCATTGCTGGTATGTGTACCAAATGTGAAATTCTAGATCTCTTTGTATGCATAACAGGAGTTTGAGGATAATTACCTAGGTTGTTTTACTCAACTCATCCATTATTTGAGCTGAAATATTCATTTCTTATTTGGCTGATTCAGGACTTGTGTTGATGGGGTTTGTCTGTAGATATTTCTATCCGCATGCCTATTACCATAAAGTTTTACCTATATTTGTCATTTCCTTGCCTGAGTAGCCAGAATCTTGAGACCATAACGAGTGGAGAGAAAGAGAAAGAAAAGGAAACCTTTGGGGGTTAGGGGTTGTATTCTGGACATTGTCCTCAACAATAGTTTTTCACTTACCCTCTGTCTAATAATCTGGTCTTTCGCATTTGATCTTAGGTTGATTACTTGACAATGTACATGGAAACTTTAGTTGGGTGATCTTATCAGATTGGCCTTTCTGTTTAGCTTATGATCCTTGTGTATGGAAATACCGTATCTCATGTTTCCTGATTAGGAACTAATTTGATCATTACAGTTTCAAGGAAGCTGCCCAGATGCCTTTTTCTACTATTTCAAAAAAGATACTTTGTATGAATTTGCTGCCGCTATTCCCACTTGCATCAGTTTCAACATCCACCAGATACATTCCCATTTCACTGTCCTTCTATGAGGTGTATACCTTTAATCTTAAACTACAAATTTTATCCAGAGATCCACATGTGCAGGGTAATACTGCTTTTTCATGCTAATCATTTCTCTGTATGACTCTGCAGGATGACTCTGAATTTACTTCATCTAATCAAACCCATGAAATTGGGTTTACAGATTATATTTCCTTCCAAATACCTGATGACTCTTTTGTAGATGTAACGAACTGTTTAGCAGTAGTGAGGGGACTTTCGAATGATTCAACCAATGTGAAGCAGGGAAGACCTTTGGAAGCGATCTTGTTGTGCATCCCTCCTGATTACTGTTGTGTGGATTTGGCTCTATATAAGGTAAAAGCTTGGTATCTTATATTTTAAAGCCCAAATTTGTAAATTTGGCTAATATATTCTGTTGGAAACAGGAACATCAAATTGTTATGTTGCTAAATAAGATGAATGATACTCGTGAAAACTTGGGAGATGCCTGGATGACGATCTTGCAGGCCTGTGACCTTCTTTTTGTACATATTGCTGGTACCACTTGTGCAAATAACTGGGAGTTGTACCAATTGAAGGTAACTCATGGATCTGGAGCTTGCATATTAATTTCTTAGTCATGATATCCTGAGTTCTATTTTTCCGGATCATGTCAATTCACTACCTAAGACATTGATGGCAAAACGGAAATTACTAGGATATTCTTCTTTTATGTTGACTCCTGGTCTTTTCAGAGTTTTAAGAAGTGGCTCTGGTTGGACCGGGAACCACACCTGTCCAGTCTGGTTCCCCAGCAGAAATAGTATTGGTCGAGAGGTGGTGCGTTGACCCTATTCAACCGATAACCAGGTGTACCTGTCAACTGGTACCCAGCGAACCTGTCAACTAGTTTGGACCAGTTCTGGGCCTCCAAAAAATTTAAAGGAATAATGTTGGAGTTGGGTTGGGGTGTGGAATTCCAACCTCTTGTTACTAACAAAAGTGCCAACCATTTACTCCGGTGTCTGCTCGCTTCAATTTGTGGTGGATAATTTATTTATTGACCGTATTGGCCTAATTTACTAGAAAATTGAGTGACGTTGTTAAGAACCTAAATCCTGTCTTTTGTGCTCAAGCGGTTCTGCTGACTCACTGGGATTCTTTTGTTCACTTGCCGATTCACTAGGCTTCTTTTGTTCTGAACGTGTGTAATCTAATATATTCAGAGTATTCTATCAGATGACTTCACATGTAATCGGTTCAATCAGTTGAACTGGTAGATCACGGCTCTACCAGTTTGACCGGTTGAACCACTGGTCTGGTTTTTAAAAATGTTTGTTTTTTTTTATTGTTCCTATTTATGATTTATCTGCTCTCCTCATCAGCACAAGTAGCAGCAGCTTAGTTTTTCCTCCTGTGTATAAAGCATATACATGCCATTTCATGCTTGCAAATTCAAAGGATGTTTTTCTGCCTTACTGTAACTGCAAGAGTTCCAACATACATTGACAGTTGGAGCCTTGTACTTGTATCTATGTTAAGAAATGTGCATTTGATGGCCCTAATGGGTTAGTAGTGCTATTTTTGCTTCTATTTTGTGACGACATTTTTACTGCTTTTATTATTCTCACTTCTGAAACACTAACCCAGTGAAACTACGCATCTAGGACTCTATCTTACACCTAGACATGGAGAATGAGAAGATTCGCAGCATTCCCCATGCTGTAGTTCCTCCCTTGTCAGTTAGTGGTAAGAATTTTTTGACACTGTCATACTATCGAGCTAAAAATCAATTCATTGCGGATGCCATCAATAGTATAGTTCTGAAGATTTTTTCTTTTGAGTTTCTTACCATGTCCATTAGCAGTTTTGGATGTTTGGAAACTTATTGTTGCCCATACTCTTTTCTTTGTGTATCAATGTTTGATAAACTTGCCAGTGTCAGTTACAAATTTATCTTGTTGGTTGTGTGGTGGAACTGAATTAGTCCTGCCCATGCTTTTTACCAAATTTCCACTTAGAACCTACTCTTTAGTTTAAATGTGACTGGCGTAGGTAAATTGTGCCTTTTTAATGGACCACTTATGCAAAAGTATGCTCCAAAGAATAATATGTTTTCAGTTGAAGAAGTAATATACTAAAGTATTAGGTTTCCTCCTAATTTTAAATCAATTGAGAGGACAAAGTGCGAAAAGGATGAATATATAGTGGCCAGACAAATACTACAAGAATAATCTTCTTACGATACATTGCAATCTGGGTTACTGACTGAGAACTGTTATGTGCATGTTCATGATGACTAATACTATCATGTTATCTAGTATAGCAAGATAATGTAGAGCATTTATAGTTTTCATGCATACCATAGCGTCTTTAGGCATGGAAGGTTTGCTTCCCGCCTGTGTTTCAGCATAATGCAAGTGTTGTACTTTTACTTTTACCCAACAAAGGTCTAATCATCACGTTAGTTATGGCCATATATTCAAGGAACACCGGACTGATATCAAGTTGATGTCTTTTTGGCAACAGCAAGTAGAGGTGTGGCTTGTGTTTTGGCTGCAAGAAAGCGGGCCCTGGTCTACATACTGGACGAGGATGAAGATGAAATCTCTGATTCAGAATGACCGTCCGTTCAAGAATTTGTGGTGGTTATGCTCATGTTGCTCCTGTGGGTGGACCTCTACTCGAAGCTGCAGACATCGGTGTGAGAAGCAATGCATGTGGGCTTTTGTGACCGAAGCTTTTCGGCTCCGCCCTTCTCGGAGAGCCTTAACTTATACCTGCCATGTGCCTTTTCTGCTAGGTGGGCATTTGTCGAAGAGAAAATTGGAGTAAAAGGTGACTATTTATCTATTGAGTTAGACCCATGGTTTCTATCTGGTGGTAATTGTCTTCATGGTATTGCTGCAAGCTTTGAGACCCATTCGATAGTGCCAAGCTTATGCTTCGTCTGTATATGTTTATAACTTTCATATATAAGACAACCAAATGCTTGGTTTGGATTATTTATGCTTTGGGTTGAATGGTTCGCTTGGTCTAATCGACCGACGAACTTTGCATTTGAATGTTTGAATTCTCTCACCTAATATTTGACTTGCTTCTCCACGTCACCATTAAGTGATGCATCCAATCTGATGCACGAAATACCTTCTTGTGTGGAAGGGCTTCCCTCCGGGATCAATATAATCAACATGACTAGCCGCTAGATATATAGTTTCAAGGTGGCTTTATAGAACATTGACCATATTCCGGTCTCAGAGATTTGGAATCCGCAAATGAACGGTAGGTTCAGGATTTTGAGATTATGCCTACAATATCTTCAATGGACTTGCGTTTTCTTAACAAAGAGTATTACGTAGCCAGTAAATTTAATGATGTGTAAACATACAAGAATGTTGAATTGTTTAAATAGTTCAGGAAGGAAAGGAACTGCGGAATGACATACTAAAGATAAAAGATCTAGGTACTCAATCTTATATTAGAAGGATAAAATTCCAGTGCAAATCCAATATTAAATCGAACTAACCCTGAGCTGCTTTGCATAAAAGCTCGTTGTATAGAAATTTAAGTTAAAAATTTTGAGGACGGGGAAAACTAAAAGAGAAGGCCAGGAAAACCAAGGGAACTTAGCATCGTAATGTAACTGCGCATGCGTTCCGGAAAATAGCTGCATTGCCACTGGATAGCAGCAGCCGGCAAGACTTATTACATGGGACTCCATGGATGCGGTCGCAATCCTAATGCATAATAAGCGCAGAATCCAGGTAACCTATTTGAATGATGTAACCTTGCATTCCTTACATGTGATATATCAGAGAACTTTTCTGAAGAAAGATGTCAAAAGAACTGTAGTGGAGAGACGCTTTCTGATGAAAAAATTAGTCGCTTAAGAAGGCGTTTGACAAAGTTGTTCTTCATACAGGTGAAGAATATCATCAATGAAATATTACCATCATTTAACAAAGAAATTGCCATCACTTCTATCAGGAACAAATGGAGAATCATCTTCCCCAAAGCGAGTAAGAACTATGAACAAGCCCGGACTGCCATCGGTGGTTCGTCTAACTCCACAAGTCTGACACCTCTCTTCCTGATGAACCCCCACTGCAACACTGCCTTTATCTTGAGCCAGCCAATAACACCTCTGCTGGTACCGCTAGTTGATGGGGTCTTAGAGGACCTGTCATTATATGATGGGCTATCAGCCAACCATTCCTCCACCATGCCTGAATCAATTGATTGGAAATCTTCCATCACGTGATCGCCTTCAGGAAGAACATCGTCATATCCTGAATAGTCCATTTGGCTCGAAGAATCGTTCGTTTGGCTACACCTGGCATTCTGAAAATTGATACCATGGGACCGTGTTGGCGATCCGGCAGTAGTACTACCATGATCTCCCAGGGGAATCAGTACATTCAAGCGGTCCGCAGACATGGGCCGATGTGCAGCTAGACGAAAATTTTCATCAACTGAAATCTCCATGGAGTTTCCAGAATTGGTATTTTGTGACTGAACTGGCAATGTTGAAGCCGTTGCACCATTGAGTCCTGGAGAAAGAACTAATACGTTAATGTGATTCGTGAAAATAGGCTGACGTGAGCACAGGTCTACAAGCTTATAAAAATTCTTGCAATGATTGGTTATGAACTTTTACTGTTCTTATATCACGGAAAGTGCTACTAGTTATCTTTTTTCCCTTACCCGGCACGTCTCTTCAGTTTTTCTTGCCCCTGATCTTTGTAATCTTTACGTGCTTCATTTGACAATGCCCTTTCTAAAACGATTCCAGTCACCATTTGATAAAAGTGCACATATAAACACGTTGCCGTGTGCTCATTGCATCTATTCATATCTACCTAGCGATAGCAATATCTTGTCAACATCCACTAAGCATCACCTAAGTGAACGTGTTCATGAGTATCTGCCCTCCCCCTCCCCCAATCCCCCACTCAAAAAAGGCACATGTTACCAACTAATTTTTTCGTTGCTTTTCGAATGCTTGGACAGATCACATCCATACATATATACATATATCGGCCAAATGGATAGTGTAAGGGTCATTTTGCAACAATCACAGCTGGACAAACAATAGTCTTCATGTTAAGTGGAACCCAAAATCATAAGGATCTGGAACACGATGCTTTTATTTATTTAAGCTCAACAATCAAGTGGAAAGTCCTATTTTCATCGTTATTTCACGGGCCAAATCCTCGTATGTGCTTATAGGTAGAGATAGCTTTGTGCTTTAGAGCATGTACCTTCAGCAGTGAAGCCTGCATTTGTCAGAGGAGCTTCTGGACCAACTGGAGCTGGCAAGATTGGTGGAGCCAAATAACGTTGAACTGGGGTGGGATTTTCAAATTGTCCTACCAAGACTTGAGATGGAATATAGCTTGAGCTTTCCTTCTGCATTGAACCAGAAAAGGTCTCACCATTGAACTCACTGACATCAGTCAAGTTATCCAAGGCCATTTTCACGATTGTATCTCCACGTTCCTGAAAGAAAAACACAGTATATTGCTCAAGCTGGACCAATGGAAGTATTTATCTCCACTATTGAAGGTACACGCTCTGACTTCAAGAAACAATTTCTTTTTCCAGCAAGTTTTGTTGCATTCCAATGGATGAACTTGTATTCAGAGTGAAAGTACGCAAGTGCAGCACAGAGAAAGAAGCTCAATTCACTTTATGCCTATCGCCGCCCATTTTTCCACCACATAAAGGTCAGGTGCTTGAAAGATGTAATGGAGAGTGCAATCAAGGCAGGGGTCCTCAGGGTAAAGATGCAAAGTTGATTGAGAAAGGACCAGTGAAGAAATAAAACACGCATCAACGTGTATTGTGCAAGTAATTAGGATCTTCATAGTTTTAGACTTGAAAAATCATAGCTGCAGCGTGAATGTGTTAATTGTCATGGATGACAGCGAATCAACTGCTGAAAATGCTCTCTACAGAAGGCCAATTAGATTTACAAGGTCACCATCCTCAACTTTGCATTGCAAAGAGCGAAAGCTCAAAATCACCACCATCGAGATTTTCTTTTTGTTCTCTCCACAGGCACTTCATATCACTTTTACTGACAAATAAAAAAACAAAGCATCTAGATGTCCAACCAACTCAAAATCACCACCATCTAGATTTTCTTTTTGTTCTCTCCACAGGCACTTCATATCACTTTTACTGACAAATAAAAAAACAAAGCATCTAGATGTCCAACCAACTCCCCGTTTCAAGTTTCCATATCTCCGATCAATTCTAACACCTATTAAGCCGCACAGCTACGAGTAAACATCACATTACTGACTACATAGATAATATGGGACATATTATATGTACTCAACATGATGGTGTGTAGTGTATGGACTGGCTTGACAAAACTCAGTTGGAACTTCATATCTACTTACCTTGTCTTGGACAGAAAGCCAATCAGTAGCCAAATATACCCCGTCTTTGATTAGACCAATCAGTTGACAATCAGTGTTGAATACAGCACCATGCTTCCTCATGCCATCAGAATAGTACAAATAAAGTTTCCGATCTATTTTGCAAGTCCTTGCATGATCTACAAGGATATCCCAGTTCTTCGGTATGATGCTCTTTCCAAGAATCTAAGATGAATGAACACACAAGACTTACAATCTCTGTAGTCAATCAAACCCTGATTGAGAATCATTGACCAAGTGCTCACCTCTCTCAGTTTCTTAGAGTTCGTATACAGTTGCAGCAGAAAGTCCTCCACTTTCTTTATTCCGGCTTCACTTAGTTTTTGGTGAAATTTCCCATCTTTGGCAATCTTCTTCAACCTCCAGATCTCATCGTCAGATGCAGGTGGATAATGTTTCTTGTATGCTGTAAAATGAAGAGAACATTTATAGTAAGGTCTAGGTCACTACAAGATTGATAAGTAGAAGCAAACTTCTAATGGGCATGCAAACTCTCTCCTAAAACCGATCCACATGTCAACATTTGATAATTACAAGGCAGCCGATGGTCTCTTATTTATCAGAATTTTTGTTCAAGATGTAACAGTCGGTAAGAAATGACGCTCTCAATTAAAATATTGAAGACTATGGATGTCCCAAACAATGAAGGACCTACATTCTCCTCTATGTTCCTTGACAGGGAAGGCATCTGTTTTTGCTTCTCGGATTCGTGTGTTCCCACAGTAACCCGAGGCCACCTTAAGCCCTATCCTGAAAGATTTACTCCTATTCCAGCTGGAATTGTCGGTAAACATGAGTTCTCCCAGCTCCCCAATGCCTTCCTTGAGCGTCACTAGGAGATCTCCAGTCAAAAGTGGCCTCTTTCCTTCACGTTGTTTAACTATGTGGTTCTCAAACTCTTCTTGGGTCCAGTTATCCTCATCGTCTTTGTTGAAGTCACCTTCAAGCACGACGACGTCCAACTTAATAGAGGATTCCGGGCCTGTTGTAACGACATCCCCTGTACTCACATCAATCAAGGTAACGTAAATGTGAGCTCTCCCATCTCCTTCTAGTTTCATTCCAGTAAATAGAGGAAGTGACAGTTTGGTTCGAAGCTGAAGCCGCAACTTTCTCGCATCATTCTTTGCTGTGGATTTAGTATTAACCCTGCATTCTCTCCGGAAAACAATTATCAGAAATAGGAACAAATATGGAAACAAAAATTGGAAAAGCAACAACAAAGAGAGACAAACTATTTAACATCTCACTTGGACAGGTCTTACTGCCAAGGAAACTACATGGATAAATAGACCAATTGTCTCAATTGTTTAATGATGCAAATTTTAAAAAAAATGAAGTCGAATAAAATAAAATGCTCCACTGCTCGCAAGCTACAAAAATTATGTTCTAAATTGAGCATTGACACTTTGACGCACGACCGAGTCATTGTCACCTGACACTTACTGTTAGAAAGTCCAACTCAATCCAAAAGCTTAAGCTAGAATTTTGACCACGCACATTTGTGAAAGGGATAGCATTGCCTTGGATACCATGTTAGAAAGTCCAACCCAAAAGCTTAAACTGATAGGTGGAGAGAGACCACATGAATATAAATAGCGTTTAGGACCCGTCGTCAAGCGACGTGGGATAATATTTCGATACATACTGAGCTCGGACTGCCTGCTTTGGGATGGTAGTGTTAGGTCGGACCATTATTCCCCAAAACACCAACAATGCATGACCGGTCAACACTGCACAGAAAGCCTTTCTCAACGGCATCACGAGGGAAGTGCATTCATACCTTGCAAGGTGGGATGAGTGAATGTTTGCTAGCTCCAATGGTTGGTTCTGCTGAAAACCATCAACAGCAGAATTGCCAAAGTTGGAGACATAATAAAAATGAAGCTGAAGGGATATGACTGAGACAAAGTGGTAATTTTATATACTCTGTTTATCTCACCAGTTTCTGAACAGCATGCTCTATTATTGTTGAGAGCATCCGTTGCACTTTTTCTTCAAGAGCATAACCAGAGCAACTACACCATGTAAATTATACCATGAACAACTGTTGTCTAGAGGGCTTATTCACAACAAATAGACAAATATCCATATGTAACATATTAGTTACTAGTACAAATGAATGTTAGACCTAATTACAGTATAAAAACATAGATACTAGACTCAAAAAAAGTCAACATGAAGCTGGAATACGTATTCACAAGTACATTTATAAAAGAAGCCAGTAAAGTTAATTAGCCGCTATCTACAAATGCAGTCTTTTCGGTGATTAACAAAAACAAAAATGTATCTGCAGGTATTCCACTTTGCCTAACAGAATCGTGGATTGATGGCAAATGAGAATCTGATGATATTATTATTTGGCGAGACAATACACATGGAAATTCTACTAGAGGAATCAATTGATGCAGATAAGATACTGCCAACAAACCAAAGAAACATATTCACCATTGACATTCTGCCGAGTGAGATTTAGCTCGCTCCAGCTCTTCCCTGACCTGTCCAGCAAAAAGCAATAGCGAAGAATTACATTGCAAGAATCATCTGTCATGTAGTCATTGCATTCAAGTTTCACATAACAGGTATCTTCATTGTCCTCCTTCTACATGCAAATTGATATTGACCACATTCCCAAGATTCAAGGCAACGGTTATGTCCAGGGCACTTCATTGAAAATTTGTATCCTTTTGTGATCCATACTGTCTGAAACAACATGAAAAGCCTAAAGCTAGTTCTTAGTGCAATTGCTTCACATGAAAAGCCTAGAACATTCAGTAGGTCATTTATACCACTCAAACAATAATTCTCTATACATCGCACAGCAATTTCTCATGCGGATTACTATCCAGAAACTGACCGGAAGTCAAAAATGCATCTAACCGCCTCTACTCGAAGAGATCAGGAATTGAAATATAATAAGGACTGTATTTTCCATGTCCTAGTTGGTTACTTTACTCATCTTACCACACTCCGCACATCCTCCTTTGTCAAACAGCGACACGGCATGATATTTGTCTCGGACCCGTTCCATGCTTGACTGCATGAACATCAGCACAAAAGTACAAGCAAGATAAGATATTTTAGACGACAGGATAGCAAAGTAATCCGGTAATGATAACAGCTCACTTGCTAGGAAAATGATTCTAACAGTGCAGCTCGAATAAGGAGGAAGTACCGCGATTGGCCAATGCGAAATCACAAAACAGATTCGAGACGACTACATTGGAGGTCTTTAATACTTCGCATTAAAGCAACAGCACACACCCACAAACAAAAAACTGAACGAAAGCGATTTAGAACAGCAGTCGCGAGGCTAAAGCTTATCGATGTCATGCTTCAACGCGGGCTTTCACCGTATCTCACATTTCAAGAATCTTCAACACAAGAACCCCCTTCATTGAATCTCCCTCAAGTGAAGCTAAAACTAACGCACGATCATCAAACGCTGAATCAAGCATTGAAACATCAAGAAGGAAGAGGGAGCTTACTCGGTTGGAGGGAAGCACGGCCTCTTGGGTTGACTTGGTTGACCTGAAGAAGAGGAAGGCAGAGCTCTCTTTTGCATCGACATGGTTTCCCTCTTCTTATGTGGAGCTTAACAAGAATTCAGAACGTGTCTGGCTACTGAAAAACTGCAGCAGAGAGAGAGAGAGAATCAGACAGTGAAACAGTTTACCAACGAACTCGAACTCTTCTTGTAATAATTGGAGGGCGTCTCTTTTTGTGTATGTCCGTAGCACGTAATTTTCCGCGAAATGTGAGACTTCGTGTACGTTTCCGCGAAACGTTGCCGGTTTAGAGTTTCTTTTTTTTTTTCTTGTTTTTTCTTTTTAGTTTCTCCGATTTTTGCAATTTGCCCCCGTATTTTTACGAAATTGCAGCATGTACTTTTTTTTAATCTTCTTTTTTCTACCTTTAGCCTATCAAATAGTTAAGCTATTTTTGCATTCGGCGCGAGTTTGAGGCAAATCTATTCTACCCGATCTTTTATCAACGGGAACTTGGTCGAATATTTGTTAGAGGGATAAGTATACTAGAAATTCTAAAAATTATCCCGAAAATGTAATTGAGTCCTGAAACTTTTAAAATGTGCAATTAAGTCCTAAAATTTGTTAAATTGATGCATTCAAGTCCTTTCGTTAACTCCGTTAATTTGTGTAACGAAAGATATTGATGCGGCATTTTTTATTATTTTCTCTCATCTTCGTGACATTTTTTATTAATTTTTCATCAAATCTTACTTAAATTAGATTGAAAAAAATTAAAAAAATGCTAAATTTTATTAAAAAGTAAGAGCCCGAGCTCCAAAAAAAAAGAAAAAGAGCCACAGGCCGTCGCTGGTGGGCCGCCGCCGATGCCTATCATCGGAAAAAATTTGCGTTGTGATCATGTATTCCCTCCAAAAGATCCTGATCATCTTTCGACAGTGCCTTCTTCCTCAACATAACGAAGGAGGACATATGCAGTCTGATAGTTGTCAACTGAAGATGTTGTCCCTCCATGAAGTGCCACATTTCTTTCCTTCCGGATGATGAAATAAATTGCTGCACCAGCCTGTAAGACCCAAACAAATTCAGCCTGCCTCGGCAACCTCCGCCGGCCCTCCTCGGCATTGGTGACCCACCAGTGAGGGAGTTTTTTTTTTTATTTAAAAAATTTACCCTTTTTAATAATTTTAAAATCTAATTTAAGTTAGATTTGGAGAATAAACTAATAAAGAATGACACGTAAGCATTTTCCCCGATGAAGTTAATAGAAGGACTTGACTGCTGTAATTCGACAAGTTTTAACATTTGATTGCATTTTTCGAAAGTATTAAAACTCAATTGCAATTTCGTGATAAGTTTTAGAGCTTCTAGTACACTTATTCATATTTGTAATAATTTACATTGACAAAAAGAAATTCCACCAATCACTTCTAATCATACGCTATTATAAGCTCGAACTCCGACCTTGGCTTTTTGTTGTATGTGGTCAATTTTATTTATAATAATGAAAAAATGAAAAACTAAATAATAATAATAATAATAAAACAAAGAATGCGTGTGGGATTAGTACAAGGTCGGGGAGCAAAACTAAGCGAGTTAGGCGGGGTTTATTATGTCAACGCCAAAGGCTGCTTGGCTTTCTGCTGTTACGTGGCCCATCTTGGAGTTCAAGCTTTATCCTCTGACGCGTTCCCGCAGTACGGTGACGTTTGATAGCTGACGCGAAAAATATTTCAATAAAGTCCCTAAATTTATTAAAAAAATTGAAATTCTGCTCATCATCCAATAGAAGATGTGCTTAAAAGGACTATTACTAGCAATTTTTTGCTCGGAGGAATTCCTTCTATTATAATCACTCTTGGTACCTTAATATTTTATTTATTTTTTGTTCCTTTTATTAAAAGAGAAAATAATGAATTTTTCCTTTTCGATAATATAAGTTTGTTAATACACTCTCGACCCACATAAACAAACAAGGGCAATTTCAAGCGGCTAAACAAGGGAGGCTATTCGACCCAAAAAAAAGGGATATATTGAGTAGAAATCGTAAAACTCGTCACGAAAGTGCAATTAAATCCTAAAACTTGCAAAAAGTACAATGAAGTCCTAAAACTTGTCAAATCTATTCAATTGAGTCCTAAAATTAGCACCGTCCAATTTGGCTAAAGGAAAATGCTGACGTGACTTTTTTATTATTTTTTCTCTCCTCCGTGGTGATGATGTGAATTTTATTATTATTTTAATACTAATTTTATTTAAATAAAAATTTAAAAATATGCTAAAACTATAAATAAATAAAAAAGGAGGAGGAGGATAGGTGGGGAGGGAGGGCTTGTCCTCCTCGTCGCCCCACCATCGCCGGTAGGGGCTCATAGGCCCTCACCCACGTAAGAGAGAGAAAATATTAAAATAAGTCACATTAATGCCAAGTCAGTATTTTCCGTTAGTAAGTTTGACGGTGTTAACTTTAGGACTCGATTTAATCAATTTGACAAGTTTTAGGACTTGATCGCACTTTTTGCGAGTTTTAGAATTCAATTGCACTTTCGTGATAAATTTTAGGACTTTTAATGAACATGTCCCAAAAAAAATCAAGGGAGGCCAAAGTTAAAGCTGGATAAAATCTAGAGTTTAGGCTATTATGCATGTTATTTCTTTAATATTTTGTAAGTCATCTTCTTTTCTTTGGTCGACTTTTCAAGGTTCACTATTTTTGGACCACTACAAAAAAACTGGATTTTTGCCACGAAAATTTGCGACGAAAAAATTTTCGTTGCAAATTTGCGACAAATTTTCCAACGAAAAGTAAAATTCGTTGGAAAATTAAAATTCGTTGGAAAATTCGTTGGAAATTTCCAACGAATTTTCCAACGAATTTTAATTTTCCGGGCAATTATTTTAGTGTGTACATATAACCCCCCCGCATCAGGTCCTTGGAGATCAGGCAGCGGTACTCCTCGGGGCAGGCCAGCGTCCGGAGCGAGAAGGACGACCTCCTCCGCGCCCTCAGCTCCCGCAGCGCGAGCAGGGCATCCCTGGCCTGGTCGATGGCCTCGGCGCCGCACTCCTCGTCGTCGGCGATGATCCTGACCAGCCTCTGCAGCTCCTTCTTCACCTCGGTGGCCCTCGCCGCCCTCGCCGCCGGATCGGCGTCGAACACCCCGGTCTTCGCCATCGCCGGCAGCGCTTCCCGCTGATCGGAACGGCCGGAACGCGCGCCTAGAGGGCGGGAACGGGTACGGGAACGGGACCGGCGGGCATCATCCTCGGGGCAACTTCTCCGGCGCCACCGTCCGGGCTCCTCCTTCCTTCCTCCCTCCCTTCCTCCTCCTTCTTCCTCTTCCTCTTCTTCAGTGAAATCCTGCGGGACGGAGAGGAGGAGAGAAGGAGAACCACCGCACAGCACAGCACTCTCTCTCTCTCTCTCTCTCTCCCTCGCCATGGCCGGCGAGGCCGCCACCCATCCCGCCTCACCGCCACCGTCCAACCGACCTGATCTCTCTCTTCCTTTCTCGGCTGCGTGAGCTACTTGGAACCGCCGCTCGCCGGTCCGCGGGCCTCGCCGGCCATGGCGAGGGCCGAGCTCGCCATGGCCGGCGAGGGCCATTTTTCGGCCAAAATTTTTTTTTTTGAAATTGAAATTTTTCGACCAAAAAACAAAAATTCGATGGAAAAAAACTTTCCACAATTTTTCGATCAAAAAAAAATTTGTAATTTCCAACGAAAAAAATTCTTCGGAAAAAAAAATTCGTTTCCAACGAATTTAGCCACGAGTTTTCCAACGAAATTTCCAACGAAAAAATTTTCGTCGCAAATTTCCAACGAAAATTGAAATTTTTCGTCGGAAAATTTTCCAACGACCTATTACCAACGAATTTTTTTTCGTTGGAAAATTTGTTGGAAATTCGTTTTCCAACGAATTTTCCAGAATTTTTCGTTGGAAATTTCGTCGGAAAAAATCAGTTTTTTTGTAGTGGACACCTACCGTCGCACTCCGAATCCAAACCTAGAATTTAGGGAATGGCCGGCCGTTCCTTATAAAATAATGGACGAAGCCTTCAATCAATAATAGCCCTTATACGAAAATGATAATTTAATAAAACCTTTCACCGAATGAATATAATAACAAAGTTCAGAATGTCGTGAATTGATCAAAACGAGAGTTTCGTGAAATCCCATTTACTAGCCCTTACTTGATTAATCAAAATTAGAGTCCGACCTCATTCAGATTGCTCTCTACGTGACTTGGTTATGTTTCCTTATTCACGACCCGAAATGGTATTAAAAGGGGTGAGCAAAACTGTGGATTGGGAAAGTGACAATCACCACTTCAATGAAATCGAGCAACGAATAATGCAAATTTTGTATCAATTATGTGGCACATCACATTAGCATAAGTATCACATTTAAACCACATATAATGTAATGTCATACTTTATACGTCATCGAAATATCTCAGCATACAGATACCAAATCGGTTGCTTATGTCGAAACATATGACCACACTTCATTAGGTGACGCCGCCTAGAAACTACACCCCTGTAATTAAGCCCTAGAAATCATATCGGTTGTAGTTAAGCCCCAAAATAGAACTGATCGGCAAACATATCTCATCTCTTAATACATATGTCAACCATGTGCATCAATCCAATATCGATATAGATGATATCCAATGTGCTAATAAATGATTTGAAATAATTCACCCATATGATCATTTTCGATGTATATCCAAAATAACACCAACTTGAAAATCTATCAAATACCGGATCCAATATCATAACAAAATAATTTTACCTTTTAGTAATAATGCGATGCAAGTTGCAGCTATAACATCCTGAATTTCGACCCATTTCTGGGATCCGACGAAGTGGATATTATTTCTCATTTGATTTTAGTACGTCTCACCTGGAGCTGGCCCCTCGCGGGATACTGACCAATGGGCAAGGCTAACTAGGAAAACGATACATGGACAGGGGACCCGATCGCAAATCGGGCGCCGATTCCGAGAAACGGCAGGGAAGTATTTTGGACCAGCGTGGACCGATTCTAGGAAGGTGACGGATTTGGTTTGACCAACGACGTACGATCGGATCATGGGTGATTCCGCTCGACCGAGAATGCGCGTGGCAAATAAATCCCGAACCTGAACCGAACGATCGTGACCCCTGGAATAATCAATAATTCCTTGCGTTCTCCCGGTAATCGAAACCGTCATGACTCGAGTGACCCTAGGTTGATACGCGTAACCCCTAAATAGCCACCCGTCAGTGAGAGGCTCTAAAATT